ATCTGACAGTGATTAAGAATCACAGCTGTGCGCTTGAGGCTCGGCTGTAGCGCCCAGCGATAGTGCAGATGCTAGCGGGGAGGCTGCGGCTTGGACGCGCGTGAGCTGGAGTTGCAGTGAGGGGTGTTAAGTGGTCCGATTTGGGGTATACTTTGAAGGTGGAGACATTATTGCCGCAAGGCATGAAAGAGAGGAGTCCAGGAAGATTCGAAGGTTCGGGGTCCACATAATCGGGCCAGTGGGCACCCTCTGCAGCCACGTGAGAGCTGCCAAGGGAACAGGAATGGAGGCCAGGTTCGGGGGCGGCGGGGCCACCGGGAGAACACTGCAGAGCTAGGGCCCAGGGACTAGCGCAAGGGGCACTTCCTGCAGGAAGCGAGGGCCGGGACAAGGCGTGGCCAGTGGGAATGGGCGTGGCCACCGGCTAGAGCAGGGCCGGCCTAAGACTGGCCCAGGTGAGAAAGGGACGGGAGAGAAGGCCGAGCCCTCCCCGCTCCCCAAGTCCAGGGGCGGCTGACTACCCGCCTACTTTCAGGGCTCTGGTTGACATTCTGAGGCATCAGGCGGGGCCTGGGACCCGCCCGGACCGGGCCCGAAGCAGCTCTCTGACCCCGGGGATTGGGGGTCCCGACAGCATGCCCCCCAGGACGCCCAAGAATCTCTACAACACCGTGAAGCCCTCCAACCTCGGTAAGTGGGACTCACAAGTGGTGGTGCTGCCTCGGTCTGCGGCCCCGACCGCCACACCGCCACTGTCAGCCCGCAGCTCTGGCCCAAGCGCTGGGCAATGGGAAGGGGAGAGGTGCGGGGGGCCTCCCTAGTGAGGGAGTCTCCCTGCCCTCTGGGGGACCTCCTGAAGAGATGTCACTGTGATTTTGACTTAGGTGTTCCAGCGCTCGCTGTGACACCACCCTACACAAGGACACACCTAACTGGTGGGTCAGGACTTGCAAGAGCCACACCGCCAGGGTCTGAATCCTGGCTGGGTCCCTGCATGCCTTAGGGCGAGTGACTCCACCCCTGGGGCCTCAATTCCTCATCTCATGCACAAAGAGGAGCTGGCAGACTGGCCTCCCACCCAGTTGTGAGGACCAGACAGCCAAAGGGCAGCACCGTTTGCGTGTCCTCGGTCCACTTCTTGACGGAGGCCAAGGGTCTCCTTTGGCTTGTGGGGGAGGAGAGCTTCTCCCAGGGAATAATGTTCGGGCAAAGGCCTGGGAGGTGACGGGTGTTAGTGGGGCCTGGGGACCCCCAGATGGCTAGCACAGAGCTCTAGAGGCTGAGGAGCGGGGTGGCAGGGCCCTGGGGAGGGGCGCTAAGCTCTGCCTTGGTCCTGCGGGCAGTGGGGAGCCACAGAGTTCAGCGCAGGGAGCCCTGGCACCAGACATGGGGCTACTACTCCTCCGGAACCCGTGTGAAGGGGAGATGGGAGGACAGGCTCAGGAGGAGGCTGGGGGGACCGTCCAGGTGCTGAGAAGAGGCCTGAGCTGGCATGGGGGCAGGGGGCAAGCTGGACAGTGATAAGGGAGGACATTGCAAGAGGACTGGGAGTCCTTCAGACAGGGACGGTCGAGACAGCTAGCACCCCACAGGCCTGCACAGGCCCTGCAGCAGGGGGGTGGCTCCGAGGTGGGCCGCCTGGTCCTGCGAGTGGCGGCAGGCCACAAGAAGGTTCTGAGCAGAGGAGAGGCTGGTGTGGGTGTCAGAACGGCTGTGGGGGCTGGCCTTGGAGATGGTCAGGAGGCTGGCCTGACAACCCCGAGGAAGAGGACAGGTCGGACTTGGGCTCAGGAGGGACCAAGTGGACAGCGGTGGGTGGAGGTCACAGAGAAGCCCCAGATCCTTGGCCTGGGCAGGGGAGTGGGTAGTGAGGCTGAACCCACGAGTCTGTGCCTACACTCTCCACCCATCGAGTTCCCGGCGTGGTTTCCCCCACCGACCGATGGCATCGTGGCCGAGTTCCGGGCCAGTCCCTCCAAGAGACCGGGACAGCAGTGCCAGCTGGGTGGCAGTGGAGTGAGGTCCCCTCCCTCTGGTCCCCCCAGATAATCTGCACCACAATTACCTGCACCTCAACGTCAGCAGCCCGAAGCACCACGCTGCCACACTGGGTATGGACCGGGCCAGGCTGCGGGCGTGAGAGCGGGTCCCTCCCTTCCCACCCTGTGCTGGGCCAGCTGTGCCAGTGCCCAGGCCAGACAGGAGCAGGCCCTGCCAGCCACCCAGTGAGCCTCAGTGTCCCTCCGTGGGTGCTGAGTGTCGTCCTTCCCCACCGGGGCGGGGAAGGTGCACAGGGTGCAGCCCAGCCCTGGGAAGCACCAACTCTCAGCAGTAAGCCATCTCCCAGGGCTGCTCTGTCAGGGCCTGGGTCTGCGGGAGGAGGCGGGGCCTGCACCTGGGGGTCAGGGAGGAGGGGCTGGGGAGGGCTGCACTGATGCCCCGCCTGCCACTCTGCCCAGACTGGCGGGGGGGGGGGGCGC